CCCACCATGTCGGCGGGCGGCCGCGACGAGGAGCGGCGGAAGCTGGCCGACATCATCCACCACTGGAACGCCAACCGGCTGGACCTGTTCGAGATCAGCCAGCCGACCGAGGTGGGCGCCGCGCCGCGGCGGCGCGGGAGGGTCCCCGCCGCCGCGTCCCCGTCCCCGTCCCCGTCCCCGCGCCCCCGCCCCGCCGGCCCCGGCGGGTCCCGCGCGGGGTCCGCAGGCCGCGCCACCTGTGCCCGGGCTGCCCGGCCGCTCGCCTGGGCCTCCGGGCCCCGCTGCCGCCCACCTGTGCGCGGGGCCTGCCCTCGGCCGCCCCCACCCATGTCTGCCGGGGTCGCACCTGGTCGCCCCCTCTGCTTCCGGCCTCCCCGGCTCGTCGCCTGAGCCGCGGGTCCCCACCTGGCTGCTCTCCTGTGCCTCAGGCCTCCCCTGACCAGCCCCAGCCACTCGCCTGTGCGCCCTGGACCCCACCTGGCCAGCCCCTCGTGCCTCAGGCCTTCTCCTGGCTGCCCTCCTGTGTCCCTGGGGACCTCACCTGGCTGCTCACCTGCGCCCCCAGGGACCCTGCCTGACCACACACCTGTGTCCTTGGGACCCCACCTGGCCACACACCTGTGCTTTCTGGCTGCTCACCTGTCTCCCCCACCTGGTCACCCACCTGTGTCCCGTGGTTCACTGGTGCTCCTGGGCCCCTATGTAGCTGATCCCCGTGCCCTGGACCCCACCTGCTCTTTCCCTTGTGCCCCGGCCCTTCTGTGGGTCTCGTGTCCCCAGGGGATGCCGACCGCACTGGACGTTTGGTCCTGGCCGCCTCCTGTTTTTCTCATGGCGTCTTGCGAGTGTGGGGACATGGACTACGGTCACTCGGAGAGCACGTGACGGGCTGGTACTCGCTTGGGGGGTCTGGAGCGTGAGGTGCCCACCCCAGCGAGAGACTGACGTCCAGAGTTGTGTCCGACCCCCCTGGCTGGGCGCCCAGGCACCCGCCGCCGGCCAGGGCGCAGCAGGGTGGCAGGCAGCCCGGCTCCCAGGCGGGAGGAAGTCAGTCACCCTTGGTCTGTCTGGTGCATTGGCAGTTGTTTATAGCAGAGCTGCTGAAAGAGTTGTGCCCGGTTTTGCAAAAAAAATGATTGAGGCCCAGTCCATCAGGGAAGCCAGAGGTGGCCAGGAGGACCCTCCTGTGAGGGCACAGGGCCAGAATGTATGTCCTTGAGTGTTAGCTGTGCACACTTCCACTGCGCGACCTGACACTCTGGATTCGTGCCTGTTCAGGACCTTGTTTAATAGCATCTGGTTTTGGTTTGTTGTAGGTGATTTTAAAACTAACAATATTTATTTGCTGGCTTTCTGGCACCAAAACACCCTTGGTAGATATGAACATTCTAGTGAAATTTAATCTCTTTATCATTAAATTTCAGCTTGTAATGTTGAGAAAAATTTGACTCAGTGTTTTGGGGTCCTGATTTGCTTGTGGTGGGAGGCTGCTCTTCCTCTGTTCATCTTGCCTCTGAGCACACTTGAGATGGTTAGAGCCACTCAAAATCCTCAGTCTCAATGCTGATATAAACTGTTAGGTTCAGGTTACCAGTCTGAGCACTGATGTTAGCTTATACCTGACTCACAACTCATCTTCTGTGGTGAGTTTATGAGTTAGCTTCTAGTAAGCAAATTTACTATGTAGTGAAGTGTTCATTCATAGACTTCTAGCACAACTTTTGTAGTAATTTAATTTAAGGATTATGTTTTTTGGGAAAAATGATTTCTTTTTTTTGTGGTAGGATAAGAATATTTGGATGTAAAATATTGTCTTGGTACATAATCTTTTTGTTTTTGTTTTAATCTATTTTTAATTTTTTTTTTTTTTGAGAGATTTCTCAAGTTTAGTTGGGGGAAAAAATCTTTTTTTTCAGTTGGGTATTAGAGTATTCAACTTATTCTTTGGTCTTTTAAATTCAGTTGACATTTAAAAAAAAATCCCAAGCCAGAAATGTAGTTAATTAATTTAATGAAATTCTACTTTTAAGTATTAATTTGAAACATTCTCATTTTCCTAGAGATATGAGTACTTATTAAAATAAAATTGGCTTGTCATTTGGAAATCTTTCTTCCGTCGCTCTGGAGGTGAAAAGTTGCTGTGTATACAGAGCAAAAATTGAAGGACTTTTAAAAAAAGATTGTATATTTCATACTGGTGTTTCCTCACCTCTTAAATCTGAACCTTTCTGTTTTTAGAAGAGATTCTTCAAAATCGTATTTGAAAGCCTTATATAGTGAATTGTTTTTAACAAATATCCGTGTTGCTGGGCCCAGTGGCCACAACTGTAACCCCAGTGGCTTGGGAGGCTGAGGCAGGAGGGTCAGGAGTTCAAAATCTACCTCAGCAATTTAGCAAGGCCTTCAGCAACTTAGCCTTCAGCAATTTAGTTAAACTTAACTTTTTAATAAAAAGTTAAAAGGGCTGGGGATGTGGCTCAGTGGTAAAGTGCCCCTGAGTTCAGTCCCCAATACACGCCCCCCCCCCCCCCCCCCGCAAAAAAAAGTCCATGTTATTTTTTTCTGAGCACTGTCATTGTGTATGGCTAGCTCACACTTCCTATTCTGTTTTGTAGAGAACCTTTGCATGCTTTTTTGTTTGTTCTTGTCTTAGAAGTTAAGCTTTACATACTATTTTTTTGCGGTGTATGTAACTTAATAATTCTCTAAACCAGTATTTTTAAGGATAGTGGTTTCAGTCTGCCTTATCAGAGTGTATATGAATTTTTTTTTTTTACCATCTAATGATTATTTTTACTCCATTTGGCCATTACAAATTGAATGTCTTAGCTATCTACAAGAACATAAATGACACATTAGTCCTTACTAGATATTCAGTAGATGTTGAACAAATCCACTGTAGAGGTTCACTTGTACAGACAAGATTTAAGCCTTGCATTTATTTTGTTGGGTAATTTTTTTATGAATGTGAATGAGAGCATGAGTTTTTTGCTTTTTCTTGCCTTTTTTGGTACAGTGATCAGTGTCTTATCAAATTTTATAATTGCTTTAATTATCTGTGATTGGTGAGCTTTGATAACCATGATAATTCTGAGTTTCTATGTTTAGGAAGATAATTAACATGGTTCTTTGGATTACATTTATTTTTTAAGAAGATTAAGATATATTTTAAAATCATTGTGGTTAAACTTGCTTTTCCTTAACATTCACATTGTGTGTAAAAAGAGAGTTTCCAAAAATGGGTCTCTCATTCTGTTGGAGTTTGTGAAATGAGGGTTGATGGTGCGGACATTTCATCACCAGGGGATTGGTGTTAGCTGAATTAACGTTGTGAGTACTGTGGAAAATTAGAGTTCATTGAAGCTCTTTAGTCCTCTCCTATCCTTCCTTTACTTCTTTAGGGGGTTCCCAGTGCTTTCCAAGGCAGAGTGCCTCCTGCTTTCCTTGGGATAGGGTTCTCTGGTCACCCTTAGGTCCTCCTGTGGGTTTAACTCACCATAGTTGTCTGGATAGCCAGAGACGAGTCTTCATCCCTCATTACCGGAAGGCAAACACTTCAGAGTTTTGTTCTTGAAAAGTTATTCTGTCTGTTGCATGGTAGGGGCTCAATAACAATTTTGTGGAAGAGTACTGAATATGACTTCCTTTGTGTGTACTTGTATTCCTGACAAAACATGGGACTTAACGCTTTTTAAAAATTTAGTGAAAATTGCCTTTTGTCTATAAAGATTTATGTTTACTTATCTTATTCTTCATCTTCTGTAAAGGTTAAACCTACATGCAAAACCTGTGCTAGGTAATTGACCATTTAGCTTCATGAGATATTTTTTATATTCATTTGTTTATTGTTTATTGAGTTCATTGCCTTTTTTCTGCCCTCATAGAAGATGTGTATGTTTCATTTAATACCTTGATTCATCTTGAGAAATAATGTGGTGATTTATATTTACTCAAAAATGCATGTGAAAAATAACTTTGGTTTGTGAGCAGAGGTGGAGCAGGGAGTCTTCAGGTGAGGAGCTGATTGCATAACTCAGTGAAGCTACGGCATTCCAGAGTAATACTTTGGTTCTAACTATGCTTTATCATGCAACTAAACTGTTTTGATAATGGCAGTTGTATCTTTAAGCTTTGGCACTGCTGAAAGCCCCATTTCCTTTTTCTGGGGGCTAATGTATGATGAAGTAGGTGGTTGCCGCTGATGGGTGTTTAGTATGCATCGGCATCTCTGTTCTTTTTCTTTCTTTCTTTCTTTTTGTAAATTGAACCTCAGTAGTGGTTATAACCTTTTAAAATCTTTATTTCCTATAATAATGGGCTAAGTTTTATATGAGTATCTGAGGTACAGCTATTGTCTATTTTTAGATACCTTTAAGTTGAAACTACATCTAGATCAGTTTCGATTTGCTATCCTTCTGCTAATGAAAAATTATGTTATGCAATTTGTTGACCTAATGGAATGTAAATGTTGTAGCTATAAACTTTTTATAGACTTTCTATTGTGATTAAATAACTAGAAGTAGCAGCATATCAGGAGTAGTAGAAGTGGTCTTTCATATTGAAAAATATAGGCACAATATCACTAAATTGGTGGGAAGCTTAAGAAGAATTCTTAAGAGTCATATTTATGTCATTAGGAATTTAATTGAGCAATTGTGTATGTAAAGCATCATTATTAGGCAGTGGCTATTCTGGAGGCATAAAATTATTTGTTTATAAACAGTGTTGCTAGACTTGAACTTTGATGTAATGTCAGAAAATGCTAATGAATAGCAATTATTTTGATATATACCTATTTTTCTTTACTATAAATAAAATGGACATGCAAGTAGCCCTTGTTGAACATAAAACTAAACTGACTCATTAGTTGAAAATTATTTCCACCTTAGGTTAGTTTCCTTGTTAATGGTATGTAGGATGTGCTTGTTCACCCTGGAGATGCCAGGGACAGGGACCAAGGATTTTCTGACCGTATTTACGATTGTGAGTCAGATGCTGAGCAAAGTGCCACATCCCACAAGTTCTAACACTAACATGCCAGCAAGGCCTGAAAGGCAGGCCACTGGTGGCCTTCCATCCAGGGTCCTCACCTATAGGAGTTGTTGCAGGTG